TGTATATAAACTCATGCGGGACTTCCTCCGCATCCATTTGCAAAACTCTCTGAAATACAGCAAAATATCACATTGTGTTGATCAATATACTGTAGGTCTGCTATACAGTAAAATTACATGTACAGTAAAAAGGTTATGTGTGCAGTACACAATACTACAGTCAGTGAACAAAACGTACCACCACATATTCACGCCGCAGGACTTTCACCCTGTCTGAATTTCTTTCAAATGGCACTTTATACAGTTGTTTCATCAGAACTTGATGTTTTTTAAGGATACGGGCTATTGTTGACAGAGAGACCTGTTGGACATTATTGAAAATAGTGTGATCATTGACAATATGGGCTTGAATTTCTCTAAGTCTGATTGCATTATTGGCCAAAACGAGGTTTATGATCTCTCTCTCTTGCTCCTGTGTGAATATGGGGCCCCTCCCTCCTTGGTGTTCTCGACGTTCAATCCTATGTTGGCCAAACAAAATACATGTAGCTTACTGTAAAATGATACACGAATAGATACCAAAACTGTTGATATAGTACATGCAGTAAGCTATGGATTTTCTGTTGACAGAAGATAAGTTTCTCACCTGTGCTCTTGACGAAATGTCCGAACTATTGATGCCACCGTGTACCTGCTTAGGTTAGTCTGTACTCTCAGTCCAGCCTCCCTCAGTGTAAGTCCGTGGTTTATTACATGGTCCACAATTGTAGCACGAATCACTGTGTGTAATGTTTTGCAAAAAGTGTGAAGCTGACAATGTGCTTACAGTTGTGCAAATCTAGGCCAGTGTTTTGCTCCTTAAGTGTAAGGTTTTGCTAATTGTGGGAAAGTTTTAATTTTAGTGTGTAAGCAATTGAAAAAAAACTGTAATATGAAATATGACTATGCATTTGCTGGATCAGCCTGAAAAATATACACCACCATTTAAAAGTATATTACTCAAAGAATCCTGAAAAAAAAAAAAAATTACTGTATCACAGTGTTCACAGAAATATGAAGCAGCACAACTGCTAATAATAATAAGAAAAGTTTACTGAGCAGCAACTCAACATAGAATGATTTCTGAAGGATCATATGACACTGAAAACTGGAGTAATGATGCTAAAATTTCAGCTTTGCATCACAGGAATACATTACATTTTTAAATATATGAAAATGGAAAATATTTTAAATTGTAATAATATTTCACTATATTACTGTTTTTACTGTATTTTTTATCATTTTTGAGCATAAGAGACTTCTTTAAAAACCTGAATGGTAATGTACTTTTTTGTAGTATTATTTACACCTGTGGTTCTCAACTGGTTTGGCCATGGGACCCACATTTTCCCATGGTCATCGAGCCGCGACCCACTTTTTTAGTGTATATATACACTATACTATATATACACACACACAAGTATGGTCCCCCTTTACTTAACATACACATTAATTGTAAGAATATGACTAATACTGATGAATAAACAGCCTATAAGGCTATTAAATGGCAGTGCCAAACTAGTTTTTGTTACAGTTTTTCTGAATTGCTAAAACACATTTCTTGAAACCATCACTCCTTTTCTCAAAACTTTAAACACAAATCCAAATATTCAAACTAAATTCACGAAACCTCTGACTCTTCCATCAAAATCAAACAACCACTGCAAAACCATTTCACTTGCATTCAAAATCAAACGGTGCTCTCAGATCACACACACGAGTCAATAAAGAAAACACTACAGAGCATTCATTAGACACTACAGAGAAAAATGGAGAACGCAGCATCCAGAACATTACAGACAAAAGTATATTGTATTGATTAAACAATTTTGCGATTCTGTAAAAAAGTATAGTAATTGCAACTGAGTTAGGTGAATATATTGTATAGGCCTACTGTATGTTCTGCAAGAATAGTACTGTGCTGAATATTGACTAGTACTGAATGTTTGTATATATTCAACACTTGGATACTGCAAAAATACTGCAGTCCAAATGCAAAGGTCAAAAAGGTCCAATGAAACTCTAAATGAATTGCATGTTACAGTACACTCAAATCCTGTAAGTTGTGCAATTGTAAAATCAGGGTCAAGATTAATTATTCATATTTCCCCATGAATGAGCTGATTCGCTACAATGTCTTTGTGCTCGAGTCCGGCCTGAGGACTTTGTCGACATCACAAGTAATGTTGTCTTTTTTGCTAGACAAAGAGAAAAAAAACCTCTGGTGTGACAGATCCAGCCTTGATAAAACTCTCTAAACCTTACTCTTTCTCTCCTCATCCTCCACTTCTAACATGTACTCTTCCTCCTCTCCTTCTCAGATGGTTTCCATCTATTGTTCGTATCATTATTCAGTCACCTGTGCCACTTGTGCACTCTGAACTGGCTCATATTTTGTACAGTTGGTTTGATCACATCATTAGAAACAAGTGTGAACAATTGTGAATCGTTGTGTGTAAACGATTACAACTGTGCTTTAGTTGTGTTTAACTTTTGCCGCTTGTGTTTAGCATTTGCAGCACAAATGCATCACAGTGTGATAAGTGTTTAAGTGAATGAGAATGTGTTTAGAGTTTTGCAAAAAGAGTGCATGAGATTTGCAAATAGAGCCTAACTGCCTGAATGTGTTTAAGGTTTAGCAGAAAGAGTGCTTTATTCGACAAATTGGTTTAAGCTAGGTTTAGTGTTTTAGCAGTTCAGAAAAACTGTAATACAATTAAGTTGGTATGAGCCACTACAGAAAATAACATGGCATTTTTGGGTTGTGGAAAAAACAGTTACCATGGTGAATACACAATACTAACATGAACTGTTAATGAAACATGGAAACAGCTCCTGAATAGAATGAATATCATACCTTCATGCAAATCCTTCCCATCGAACACACGAAGTACCAGTTACGTGATTTATTGGTAGTTTACTTTTATTTCGCATGTTGCATGCTCTTGGTTTCTTTTGCGCTTTAGTGAAATTATATACAGCATGCGCCACCGCATTTGTGCGTGCAACTGAAGCCTGACAACATCTCATCTGACTGCAGATACAGAATTGGGACAGTGTGTTGTTCTCTGGCACTCTTTACTTAAACTGCATCTGACAGAAGTGTCAACAGCTTTCACTCATGTCTTTCAAAATAAAAGTCTCACATCAGAAAAACATTTAGAATTAAGTTTTTTGTTGTTGATGTTGTTTCTTTGACTGTACACTCCGCAACCCACTTTTGGCTTGCGACTTACCAGTTGAGAAACACTGATTTACACTAAAGATTTACTGATACCTGTCCTGCACAAAAAGGGATATCACCAAGATGAGAAACACTGATTTACACTAAAGATTTACTGATACCTGTCCTGCACAAAAAGGGATATCACCAAGATGACTGCCAAGTGAACTGACTTGTCTTAAAGGGACTTGGATTTATGTATCATCATGACACTAAAGTCAATATGAGAACTAAACAACCTCTGTGAATATCACTGACCTTTCGGGCAGATGTCAGTGCACGGGATGCACATCTTGATGTTATTTTCCTCCACCTCCATCTTGTTGCTCGGACAGGCTCTGACACAAGAGCTGTGATCCACCACAAAGTTATCTGAGTTCCAGACAGCAGAATATTAGAATATTAATAAGACAGCTGTGCAAAGATATAGTCTGAGGTGAAGAAGGATAATATTTCAAATTAAAAATGGAATCAGGCCAAACCATCCATATTTTTATTTATTTATTTATTTATTTTTTATTTGCAAATGAAGAGTAGAGACCATTAGAAAGTGATTATTTGTTAAATGAGTAATCCCATTCCTTTAAGAAACCTAACTTACGTGGGCATCTCTTGACACAGAAAGCTCCATAGGTGTATTTGGCGTTGGGATTGTGTTCAAGCTGGAAGGTTGTTGGATTGTAGAAGAATGGCTGAGGACATTGTGTCACACAGGCCCCGCTGTCATTAAAGTTGGTACAAGCCTGAGAATAAAAAAACAGTCATGTAAGTATGTGGTTGATCGATAATACATGCCTATAATGAAGAGAAACGTCTGCAGAGCTTTCAGTGTATAACACATTCACTTTCAAATTATTTTAAAAGTGAGCAGGCATTTGTCATTACATTTATTACACTTTAAAACCATACAGGAAGAGTTGACATACGAAGCAGTCCGTGTCTTTGGGTCCGGTACAGCCTCCTGCACATTCACGGTGGCAGCAGTTACTGACGTACGGACCAAAACAGCGTCCATCACACTGCTCTGCACACACCGTCTTTGTCACTGTATGATTGCGAATATAGATGGAGAGAGAAAGAATCAAAAATAGTTTTCTCGCCAAATTTTTTCTAAACCAAGTGCCAATAGATATGTGCTATTTTGGGTCAAATTGTCTTTTGTCTTCATTCTAAAAATGGCAATTCCGATATCTAGAGGGAAGTTACAAATGACCGATAATAATATAAAAAATTAACATAATCTGAACAATATTTACTTCAAATTAACTATATATATATATATATATATATATATATATACAAAA